ATATGAAGTGTAATTTGTAATTCAAAAAGCTAGTCATAGTTTGAAAAGGTCATTGAGACAAATCTAATGATGTATAACACAAGACTTCACCATGGGCGCTTTGCCCCGTGACACGCGTGGGCCCGTTGCCCCCACTAGGTATCATTTCAATTTATATCGTGTCAACATTTTATTTTAAAAGCTAATAGTCTAAACTTGGTCTCAAAATTATCCCTATAAATATTATATTGAAAAAATAATTCAAAGTAATTTCAAAATCTTCATCTATAGTAATGGAAAAAAACTTTATTTAGCGGCAAAAAAATTTTTATCTGGGCTAAAACATTTATCCACAAATAACTTAATAACGCAAACACTTAGCAAAACGTAAATCCGTGCACTTCATCCCAGTGAAACTGTCGACCGGCGGTAGAGAACACGGACCAATATCTGCCATACTTAGCGAGAAACCCGCTATGGGCCCGTGACCCGCAGTGGGCTCGCTGCCCCATGTTACCCTACTAAGATTACAGTTATATTCAACAAGAATATCGAATAGTTATATACAATAGGAATATAAATTAATAGTTATAAAGAACAGGAATATAAATACTAATATACAACAGGAATATAAATAGTTATATACAACAGGAATATAAATACTACTATTACAGTTACTGACTGCCACAGTGCTGCTGTGGCACTCAGAAGTTGTGTCGAGCAGTTAGCACAAATTAGCAGTTCTGTACTTTCGAACAAAATTCGTACTTTATCGTACGAATTTTTTTTTTGCACTAATTTTTAACTCTCGTAGGCTCTCATTATTCCTTCCAGGGAGCCTAACTTTTGACGAGCAGCTTCAAGAAGTTTCTCGTAACCTATAATTACCCAGTATATTATGACTTACCTGTTATAAGCCGGCTATAATGACTTATCCGTAATAAGCCGGTTATAATTTACCCGTAATATGCCGGTTGTAATTCACCCGTACCCAAAGTACTGGGGCAGAAGTTGTTTTACACGCGTATCTGCATCGGCAACTTGAGAACTTGAACGAACTTTTGCTTAAAGTTGGCATTTGGCCTGTGTATATATACCCTGATAACTAATCATTAGTCAAATTAGCTTATGACTCAGACAGAGAAAAAAGTCTATCGCAATTTTTACAAAGTTTCAATCATTTATTCCAGTGGACGATGCACGGTGTAATTGGTATGAGTGTCACACCGTGACACTCACACCAGTCACACCGTGACACTCACACCAGTCACACCGTGACACTCACACCAGGCACACCGTGACACTCACACCAGTCACACCGTGACACTCACACCAGTCACACCGTGACACTCACACCAGTTACGGATCAGGTAACCAATCTAGAACTCGAGCTCGGGCGTGCCCTTCAATAACGAGGGGCGTGAGGGGCGTATGAGCCGTGAGGGGCGTGAAGGGTGTGAGGGGCGTGAGGGGCGTGAGGGGCGTAAGAGGTGCGAGTAGCGCACATTGCGTACAGTTTGCCCTTTGCAAATAATATGCAAAGCTTATTGTGTACAAATAATGGGTACAGTTGGGACTAGTGTTCACGCTGTTTACAGTGATAATATAACTTAAGTTATTTTATTACAGTAGTGCTCAATTTTAGAAATTTTGTACGATCGTGGCAACTTGACGAGTTTATATAAGATTGCGCCTTATATTGTATATATTGATATAGTATTCATACAATATTACTTCAACGTGATATTCATTTTCATTCAGTATTACTTCAGCGTGACATTCATATTCATACAGTATTACTTCAGCACGATATTCATATTCATTCAATATTACTTCAACGTGATATTCATTTTCATTCAGTATTACTTCAGCGTGATATTCATTTTCATTCAGTATTACTTCAGCGTGACATTCATGTTCATTCAGTATTACTTCAGCGTGACATTCATGTTCATTCAATATTTCACCAGAGCGACTTACAGGTCAATTGATATTAGAAATTTACAAGCTTCATATCGTAGTTATCGCTCAAATTGCAGCGACAAAACTTGATGCGAGCTCCAATCAAACTTCGTACCACGAAAACTATGAAGACTCGATAAAACATTTAAATTATTAATATATATTTATGTTAAGACGGAATTATGAGAGAACTCTTTGATTGGTTTGTGATTGTTATTGGCTGCTGCTGCAGTCTCTGATTGGCAAGGGGTTCTTTTTGAGAAGGAATTGGTAAAAGGTTGAAACTTTTCACCTTCTAACAAATTCACTTTTTCATCATTCTTTCAATTCCCCACTATATCCGCTTCTCTTCTCTCTATGGATCCCCATCCTTTGTTCTTCCTCTATCACTTCCCCACACTTTAAACGTCACCAATTTTTCTCTCCATTACTAATCTGCAAAGCATCCCCCTGAACGACGCCTATTCTTCCCCACAGTATGATGATGTCGGGGATTTCAGTGACCAATAACCTCCCAATTACTAATCCCCATATCATGCCCATTAACGACGCCTATTCTTCCCCACAGGATGAGGATGGCGGGCATTGAAGTGAAAGTGACCAGTAACCTCCCAGTTATTAATCCCTAAATCATCCCCATTAACAACTCTCTTGTCTTCCCCACAGGATTAGGATGGCGGGGATTAAAGTGACCAGTAAATTCTCTATTCCCAGTGAAAATTTACAGACGCGTCAGCTTCTGATTTGGATTGCCAGAACCTAGGGCGACTCTAAATTTCGTTAGGGTTACTAATCCCTAAATCATCCCCATTAACGACACCAATTCTTCCCCACAGGATGAGGATGGCGAGGATTGGAGTGACCAGTAACCTCCCGCTTACTAATCCCTAAATCGTCCCCATTAACAACTCTACTGTCCTCCCCACAGGATGAGGATGGCGGGGATTGAAGTGAGCAATAACCTCCCATTTACTAATCCCTAAATCATTCCCATTAACGATGCCTATTCGTCCCCAGCGGGATTGAAGTGACCAATAAACTCTGAATTACCAATCCCTAAATCAACCCTATCAACGACACCTATGTCTTCCCCACAGGATGAGGATGGCGGGGATTGAAGTGAGCAAGAGTTCGTCAGGTTCCCACGAGTGCGGTGGGTGCGGCAAGCGTATCAGGGATCGATATCTCCTGAAGGCGGTGGACCTGTTCTGGCACGAGGACTGCCTTAAATGTGGCTGCTGCGACTGCAGGCTCGGCGAGGTCGGCTCTACCCTCTACAAGAAGGCTAACCTGCTGCTCTGCAAGCGGGATTACCTGAGGTGAGGGTAACTTGCTGCTGAGGGAGCCTGCTCCCCTTATAAGCGTGATTACCTGAGGTGAGGGTAACCCTTGTTCTGTAAGCGCGATTACCTGAGTTGAGGGTAACTTGCTGCTCTGCAAGCGGGATTACCTGAGGTGAGGGTAACCTGCTGCTCTGCAAGCGAGATTACCTGAGGTGAGGGTAACTTGCTGCTCTGCAAGCGAGATTACCTGAGGTGAGGGTAACCTGCTGCTCTGCAAGCGAGATTACCTGAGGTGAGGGTAACTTGCTGCTCTGCAAGCGTGATTACCTGAGGTGAGGGTAACCTGCTGCTCTGCAAGCGAGATTACCTGAGGTGAGGGTAACTTGCTGCTCTGCAAGCGTGATTACCTGAGGTGAGGGTAACCTGCTGCTCTGCAAGCGAGATTACCTGAGGTGAGGGTAACCTGCTGCGATCTGCAAGCGTGATTACCTGAGGTGAGGGTAACCTGCTGCTGAGGGAGCCTGCTTCCCTTATATGCGTCATTACCTGAGGTGAGGGTAACCTGCTGCTCTGCAAGCGGGATTACCTGAGGCGAAGGTAACCTGCTGATCTTGTGCCGTCACTAACCTGCTGCTGTTTTTAAATACTATTATAGAAAAATGTTGACTCCGAAAAAAATGCTGATTATAGAAAAAATGATTCCGCATGTATAGTCAGAGTAACTGTCATTTTTAAAATTGTTAATTTTATTTCTCTCGAATAGAAAAATTTACCCAGAAAAGCCATGCTCCGTCATGATTTTATTTGCAATGTTTGTTATAAACATTCATCCCCACCGTAGAACTCGTTGCTAAACGAAAATTCGTTTCTGTATAACCCTTTTTTTTGCTGAAATTGCAGTTGAATCGCTCGCAAAGTGCAGCCCCAAGAATGCAGCAGCGCAATTGCAACTTCCAGCTTTCGATAACAAACAGTAAAAAGTTCGTTGGGGAATTGAGTGTGTGGGGAATGAAGTTCGTTGGGGAATTGAGTGTGCGGGGAATTAAGCGTTGGGGAGGAAGACGCACGAGGTAACTTTTAGTCGTTTAAATCGTTATTGAAAAACTTCGGTAGGATTCGTGCATATTGTTTAATTGAAAAATGCGATTGCTGAATGCATGCGATTTTACGTATGCGAATCATAGCTTAAAAGTTGAGCTCTAAATTAGGCATTCTATTTTAATACACTAGAATTAAACAAAATAAAATTGATGGAACAAGCACGGAAATGCTTCCTATATACTCTTCGTCTCACCTAACTCGCACAACTTAACAACAAAAATTCAACACAGCTAACATCATACACAAAACAGGCAAAATTATACTCTTAATCGATAAAATATTGGCCGAAGCCATGGTTTCCCCTAAATATAATTGCCTAAAATAATAAATATATATAAACATATATTCCCTATAGCCCCACGCCTCACCTAAAACTTTTCTCGCTGACCAACAACTTCATCTTTCTCCATTAAACTAAATCAGAGTTGTCACGTTTCATCTTCATTAGAAATATTAAGTTATCTATATTTTTCTAGAGCACTTAAATTAAATTTTACGACGTCGATGAGTCATTAGCTTGGATAATCTCCTGCAAAGAAAATCCGTTATTTTTATTTAGATTCTTTACCCTCTTTTTAGGCGGCGGCCATATCATCCCTCACTTTATATGAGGGTAACTGAGAGGCCTAATGAGGCCTAAAGGCAGGTGGGTCCCTAGGTACCCTCACCTTAATTATTTCCATACCATCTGGTACCTTCCATACCATCTGGTACCTTCCATACCATCTGGTACCTTCCATACCATCTGGTACTATGACTTCGGCATTTTCACTCGTATCGTGTTTAAGAGTTAAATGCAGGTTCAAGGAAGTAATTTTAATTTATTAAAGGCGTTTCGAATGTGACAACATTCATGTTCAAGTTATAGGAAGCATTGAATACAGAAAAATATTTTCATTTGGTGAAATTAAGTACATTATACTATAACATGGAAATTAATGTTGTTACATTCGGAACGTCGTTAATAAATTAAAATTACTTCCTTATACCAGCATTTCGATCAACCAACGTCATCTAAAGAATGTTGCCTGACTCTGAAAATTTAAATCACTCATATCTCTGCATTTCCGCAGTTATATTCTTCGTCTGAAGTAACTCTCTCTCCCTCATTCCCGTTATCGCATTCTCCTAGACACTCTTAACTATCTCTTCACTATATCTTCACTATCTATTCACAATTTACGCTCATCTCGCATCCTATCACTCTACTCCCACACCTGCGTTCTAACATCACACCTTCACTCGCTTCCTCTGGCGTTACACTCTGATTCTACCCTTACTTAATATTTTTACTCTCACGCCCCCATGCACTCTGCCCAGATTCGTTCTCTGCATATACACTCTCGAAATCTACCCTCACTTCACCCTCACTCTTCTCGCACACTACCCTCATTCTTCCCGCACTTTCCCATCATTCTACCCTCATTCTAGCTCCAATCTTCCTTTACTCTACCTTCAGTTTGCCCTCACTCTACACTTACTCTTCCCTCTCTCTTCGCTCTCTCTTCCCTCTCTCTTCGCTCTCTCTTCCCTCTCTCTTCTCTCTTCTCTCACTCTTCCGTCTCTCTTCCCTCATTCATCCCTTATTCTTCCCTCATTCATCCCTCATTCTACCCTCACTCTACCCTCAGTGAGTCAGTAAGGCAGCCCTCATTAAGGCGGCTGAAGGGCCTTCGTTAACAGCTTCCCTCGCGCCCGTCGTTCTCTGTAATTGCTGCGGTGTAATTGGAACATTTTTACGGCGAGGCTGACTTGGGGAACGAGGGGAGACGTCTGGGGAAGAAGGGTGGGGAAGAATGGGAAGCTCTGAGATTTAGATTTATGATATGAACTCGAAGTAGGATTCCAGTTACAGGGGAATAGGAATGCAGGATACTGACGTTGAAGGAATGTAAGGTTTACGTATGGATAACAACTGTTATAAATATTCGAAAAAATAACAATCGTGATATGAAACTAGAACAATCATTCAACAAATAAACAAAATCCAGACAATAATTGATTGTAAGCGTACAAATTAAAAAATGTCATATTGTCACAGCATGTGACCATCTCAATAGTATGGAGATCATGTATCGCAGCTGCTCTTTAAACTCAATACTGAACAATAACAATAACAGAACTTGATAATAAACAATAAGCAATAATTCGACACCCCGACAACAATAAGTCAGATCTCGACACCCCGACAACAATAACAGTCAGAACTCAACACCCAGACGACAATAACAGTCAGAACTCAACACCCCGATAGCAATAACAGTCAGAACTCAACACCCCGATAGCAATAACAGTCAGAACTCAACACCCAGACGACAATAACAGTCAGAACTCAACACCCCGATAGCAATAACAGTCAGAACTCAACACCCCGATAGCAATAACAGTCAGAACTCAACACCCAGACGACAATAACAGTCAGAACTCAACACCCCGACAGCAATAACAGTCAGAACTCGACACCCCGAAAACAACAGCAGTTCTTCACACAGAAAAACAGCTGCGAGGGGAAACTGTCGTCGAGGGGAGACGGCAGGTCGTGTCTGACGAGGGCTTGATGGGGCTCTTGTATCGGCATTTGCTATATATGTATTGCTTCCCCCTCCTCCCCTCACAATTGGGGACACCCTTCCCCTCCCCTAACAATTGGGGACATGTCTCCTCCCTCTCCCCACCCAGTGGGGCAGCAGCCCCCTGTTCCCATCCCAATTGGGAACACCCTCCCCCTTTCCCCTAGCAATGGGGACATGTCTCCTTCCCTTTCTCCTCCCAATGGGACACCAGCCCCCTCTTCCCCTCCCAATTGGGAACACCATCCTCCCTTCCCCTAGGAATGGGGACAAATCTTACTCACTCTCCCCACTAGCCCCTCTCCTCCCCTCCCTATTGGAACTCCCCCCCTCTCACCTAACCATGGGGACATGTGGTATGTCCTCCCTCTCCCCACCAGCCTTCTCTCCCCTTGTAATGNACAGACACCCTCACATTCCTCCTTAATTGCCTTATACCTTCTACTCCTGAGGGATGGCAGCGTCTGCAGTCAGACTCATAACTGTATTCAATCAAACTCATAACCATTCACAGTCAACCTTATAACCGTTCAAAGTCAACCTTATAACCATTCAAAGTCAACCTTATAACCGTTCAAAGTCAACCTCATAATTGTCTATGTTCAACCTCATAACCGTTTACATTCAACCTTATAATTTACATTCAACCGTTTACATTCAACCTCATTCGTATTCGTAAGCTGTTCCCACATTCGTGTTCGTACGCTGTTCCCTCATTCGTGTTCGTACGCTGTTCCCTCATTCGTGTTCGTAAGGTCAGGTGGGGATTGTGGGGAAAGGGGAGTGGTGTGGAATGAATGGGGGGTTAGGTGGGGAGTGAGGGAAGAGTTGGGGAGTGAGGGAAGAGGTTGGGGAGTAAGGAAAGAGTTGGGGAGTGAGGGGAGAGGTCTGGTGGGAAAAGATCGAGGAGTGCGGCTATGAATGAATGGGGTGATAAATGGGAAGTTGGGGGGAGGAGTGAGTAGTGAGGTTGGAGGAGTGAGGGAAGGAGTGAATGGTGAGCAATGAGTGTGAAGTTGGGTGGGGGTAGTGAGCGGGGAAAAACTGTGTAGTGAGATAGTGGGAGCTGAAGGGTAGTAACAAAAAAACGAAGAACATCCCCTTGTAACCTCCCTCCACTCCCCACCCCTAAACGTTTTCACTACCCTCCAGCCCTCATCACTCCCCAACTCCCATCAATTTCACTACCAACATCCCCATACTTCTCTTAACTCCTCTTCACTTTCCATCGGTCCTCTTTACTCCCCATCGCTGTCTGTATTTCCCATCACTCCTCTTTATTCGTCCCTCTTCACTCCCTATCACTTCCCTTCCTTTTTCCCCACTCCTCCCCGCGGGGCTGTAGCCCTCCCATCCATTAGGGCT